CTTTCACTGCGAGCTGGCTGCCCTGGCAGGGTCGCTGGGCACAGGCTGGTGTTTGGCAGCAGGAGCTCTGGGTGGGTGACCCACAGACGCTGGGCTGTGCTCTCAGCATCCCCCTGCCCGCTCTCCTGAGATACACGGTGCTTTGAGGTGGGACCGAGGCACTCGGGATTCTTCCTTCCCTGCTGGCTGCCCACCGTGGGGACGCTGGCAGCGCTGCTGACCCGAGCAGGCACCCCGGTGTGGCACCACGGGGTGGCCGTGTCCCGGCAGGAGTGGCCAGGGTTTGGTGGGACCCGCTGGTGTGTTACCCCAGACTCAGAGCAGTGTGTCCTCTCCCTGAGGCCCCTGCTTCTGGCACCTCAGGCATGTCCACGGGGCCTGGCTGCTGTGGGGAGGGCACCTTTGGGTGCCCGCTGGAGCCCTCGGGGAGCTCCTGGCAGGCGCTGCCTGGGGATGGACCCCACAGGAGTGAAAGCGGAGCCTTTTTCACGAGGCTGTGTGCTGGGCTGAGGTCAGCTGGCCCTGCTGCAGCAGCTCCATCCCTGCCTCCTCTGGAGAAGGGGGCTCTGAGCAGGGCTGAGCTCTGCCAGCAGCCCCAGGCTGGGGGTCCCTTGGGGGAGTGCAGGAGCAGGGCTGGGTTTGGGCAGCAGGCAGGGCTGAGCAAATTCCTGCTGTGGGATAAGCCCTGGCGAAGCTCTTCCTGCACTGGAGCCATCTCCCAGGAGCTTCTCAAGCATCATCTGCAGGGCATGCAGCAGGGAGGGTCACAGTGCACCCCAAAAAGCCTTGTGACTGCAGAAAGCATCAGAGACTTCCCAAAATGTGCGGCTGGACGCTCAGCTCCCACGGGGGGAAGGGCAAAGGAGTAGATGTCACCTCTAATGTCACTCAAATGGAGGCAGGAGCACAGACTCTGCAGTGGAAGGGGCAGCCCTGCTGGGGGACCCTGCCAGGGTTGCTGTGGGCAGGGGGAGGCCCAGGCTCTGCACAGCTCTGCTGCCCAGTGCCTGTCTCCTCTCACCTGAACACTGCGGGATGAAAAAGGACATGCCAGCTGGTTTGTACTTCAAAAGGGATACGAAATGACATAATGAAAACAAGGAAAAAGAATAACACAGGCCTTGTATCAGTGTCTGAATAATCAACATCCCAGCATAAACGGGTGTCTCTGCAGTAGACGGCTGTTTAATTTCCTGAATCCTAAGACGGGCACTTTTTCTGGGCATGGTGTGGAATACTGTCAAATTTTAATTTAGCTTGGCAGTGTCACACAGCCAGTCTGAGCAAGTCGGGGAAGGCAAGTCTGGAACTCATTAGAGCTTGTTGCGAGGCCCCGAAAATTTGATTTTCAATCACTGTTGGGTTTAATTATTGTTGATGTCTTGCCTAGAGTATTCTGGGATTCTTTCTGAGGAAATTAAAGCAGCATGACTGGGACAGCATTCTGTTTGGCACGGGGCTTGTTTAGATTAAATTCAGAGCGGAGAGCTGAAGCTCAAGGCAGGGAGAAGGCGATGGCTGGCACGGCGCGAGCGCTGGAGCGGGCCCAGCTGGCCAGGCAGGCCTGGCCTTGTGTGCTGTTCTCACCAAACTCCGTCCTTCTTGTCAGAACAAAATAACCCACGGAGCTAAAAGCACCCATCAAAGCCAAGGTAAAGTTTACTCCGTTAGTACAAATTTTGATTCTTTAGCTTTTTCTTTCTTTGGTTGTTCAGCGTGGGATTGCAAACACCCGAAGCATCCTGCAGGGCAGCAGAGAAGTGCTGCTGTTGCAAGGGTAAATGGTGCCAGGGGCTGGGCTGGGGGCCTTGGTGCCTCCAGGAGAGGCAGGAGCTCCCTGTTCATCAGCAAATCCTGGGTGCTGGAGGAGCCCTCCGCAGGGGTCTGCAGATGTGCACGGGAGTGCTGGTTGAGGCTGGCAGCTCACATTGGTCAAGTCCAAAACCGTGGAGCTTTCCAAAGCTTTTCGCCCCAGCTGGAGACTCAGTCACTCGTGGTTTCATAGGCTGGGTGCCAGAGGACAGCCCCTGGCACCAAACCTCAAGGTGTGCAGGGGCCTGGGCTGAGCCCCGAGCTGTTCCACAGCCTGGCAGGTGCCTGGCTGTCACAGCAGGGACCTTTTGTCACAGGGACACCTGGCTCCGTGGGAAGGAAGCTCAGCTCCAGGTGATGGGGGCTCTGTGGGACACACCTGAGAAGCCTCTGCCGTGTCCCAGAGCTCCGTGAGCAGTGTGGGGATGAAGATGAGGATGAGGACTGGCGCCCGAGTCCCTCGGAGGTGCTGCTGCTGTGTTGTGTGACCCCGTGAGGGCTGCAGAAACCAGAACCCAGCTTGCTCTCGGCTCTCGGAGCTGGGCCACGAGACTGAGCAGTTCCATCCCGGGAGTTTGGGTTTGGCCCCTGCAGCTCTCGTGCTCCTCACCTGGGCTCCGGCAGAAGCTCCGTTTCATGATGGAGCTGGCAGTGGCTCTGCAGAGCACCCCTGCAGCACGAGGAGCTTGGTCCCAGGGCTGGGACAGGCACACATGGCTGGGACAGCCCTCAGGGCACTGCTCCCTGCTGGCAGAGCCTGTCCTTGTGCTGGAGCCCAGGGGAGGAAGCAAATGTGCATCCCAATGGAGAAACCTGCTCTGGGCAAGTGTTTGTAGCCATGGAACCATAAAGCAGCACAGGGGTTAAAGACCTTATTTTGGGACTTGGACTCAGAGCTGAGCAGAGTCCAGTGAAATGCAATTTAGAAATTACAAAATCCCTCTGGTCCTGCAGAGAGGCAGTGTCTGGAGTGTTTGTTTAGGCTGGGGTTTTTCTCCTTTTTTTAAAGAAGGAAATACTGTATTTCAGCTATCCAGGAAAGACAGTACTCAGATGTGCCATCTTGGAGCTACTGTTCCATTTAGAGATGGGGCTCAGAGAAAGGGGGATATTTCCAGGCAGCTGTTTGCAATTCTGGAGGAGCTGGGGCTCCCTAATGGTGGCACCAGCCCGATTCCCCACACTTGTGCCATCTCACCTGCTGCCAGCACTGGCTCCATGGCTTGGTTACATCACATGGGCACAGGAAGGTAAATTCTCTCCAAGGCATCCTGATATTGCCTGTGCCCTGCCAGTATTTGGGGTGGCACAGTCCCTCAGCTTCTGCCTTGGCTTCAGGCTTCACCAGCCACAAGAATCACCTGGACTTGCTCGTGTGCTCCTCTGGAGACTGCA